AAAAAAAAAAAAAAAAAAACCCCGGCCCAGCCTCTCTGTCCTTTTCTGTCAGTGTTGTTTGGGAAGCATCTCCTAGGGATGGAGAGAGCAGGTTACATAAAAGTCAGAGAGTCTGGGGTCAACAGGTAGTATGCTGGTTAAGGCACTGGACTTCAACGTGACTGATCACAGTTCAAGTCCTGGACCTGGAAACTTGAAAGTCGCATTGGGTGTGTGTGCGCATGTGCCCCAAACCCAGAGAGAAGAGAGGAGAAGGGAATGTGTTGTGGCCACCCCTTCCGGGGGTGATTTCTCGCTTTCTCTTTCTCTGGCAAATGCACATGCCACACACATGCCCGGTGTTTGTTTGTTTGTCTGTTTTTCTCTTCCAAGCCATGAGGGCTGGACTTGAACTGTCAGCCAGCCACGTGGATGTAGGGCCCTGGCACCAAAGGCTGGCCCTACACAGGACGTTTTAACGTGCACGAGCAGTGGGCTCTGTGGAAGCGGTGACTGATGCGGGTGAGCTCAGGGCCCGGCACTCGGACGGCCCTGGCCAGGGGACGCCATGCCTGTGACTGGGACATTGTGTGGGGTTTGCTTTCAGATGCGGATTGGACTGCACTCCGGGTCTGTCTTTGCTGGAGTTGTGGGCGTGAAAATGCCCCGTTACTGTCTGTTTGGGAACAACGTCACTCTGGCTAACAAATTCGAGTCGTGCAGCGTGCCACGGAAGATCAATGTCAGCCCAACCACCTACAGGTACCACAGCAGCGGCCCCCGCCTGCGCCTTCTTCACATGCACTTGCCACCCTTCCCCACGACCCGGCTCATTCCCATCACGTGTTCCTCGTAGGTAGCCTTAAAGGGAAGAGTGCTGGTCCGTCCCCCTCACTGTCTCTTCACAGCGCTTAGCCCGCGAGCGCCTCCCAGCGATATCTGTCGCCCGGCGTGAGCCTCACAGTCACCAGGTTTCACCATCATTGTCCTTCAGGCCCCTACGAATGTGCTGGGCATGCCAGGTCACCCGGTGCCACCATGAGCACATGCATGGCGTGGGCCGGAGCTCAGGCAGAAGCCAGCAGAGCCACACACACGCTGTCCAGGACATGCAACAGCTTCAAAACTGGGGGTCCCATGAAACCTCAAGACAGATAATTCTCCAGAATGCCTCAGAGTACTCAGTGAAGTGCTGAGCTTATCCTGGTCAAGTTAGTGTGAAGGACACGAATCAGGACCGCCTGGTGCAGTCAGACAGGCGTCCTCTGCAGGGTGCAGGTGTGGTCAGACAGGCGTCCTCTGGGGGGTGAAGGTGCGGTCAGACAGGCGTCCTCTGGGGGGTGTAGGTACGGTCAGACAGGTGTCCTCTGGGGGGTGCAGGTGCGGTCAGACAGGCGTCCTCTGGGGGGTGCAGG